CGAGCACTTCCGCGTTCGACTTATCGCGTCCAGAAAAGACGCGATAAGTCGAACCCAGAAGTTCGATTGCTCGCCGCCGAACTACCAGGTAAGTGTAGACATACCCTAAGATATGCTGAAATTTCCCTTTTCTTTCAGCCCAGGTGCCCTTCCCCCACTCACACTCAAATTGCAAATGACTATAGTAACTATTGACTAGACTTGTATGGGAAAAAAGTAATAGGGGAATAGGAGTTACTCAATATTTAGTGCAACAAATTAATGCAAGTTTTAATTTATGCATGCTTCATGTAGGCAAATGATATTAAATTGCTGCAGCATAGAAGAATAAACAGTGGCTGCTGCAAACTATACACTACATACCAACTCTGGTTCCATTTTTATATTGTACATAAAAGGGCAGAGTCCACTGATCGTTATGGAGCAGGTTTGCTGGGTGACATTGCTCTGGAAGATTCTTACCTTGGGTTGCAATGTAGTGACTTGGTCTTTGATAGCCCTAAAACAGAAGAATAAGTTGGTTTCTGTACTTTAATACCAACCAGAACAGGCTAGGGAGGGGAAAACGAAGGCATAATGGACTGTAAGACAGTTTAGCTATAGAAAACCTTTTCAGAACAGACTAGTAGCTAAGAACTGTGTATAGGTCAGGGGCGGCTTCGTCAGCCCAGGCAAGTGAGGCACAGCCTAATCAAGAATTCCCAAAAGGTACAAAACACATTTTGCATATTCTTTTTTTAAAAAATGATAAATATATACAGATTTAAGGACAAATTATTATTTGATTTAAATGTCACAACTCTCTCTCTCCCCTGTGGCGAAATGCAATACCAGGAAGTTTGAGGGACATAGTGCTGTTCAAATCTTGGTATAGCTAATTGTGCCTCAGGAAGCTGCCATGTTATCATGGCAATTTACCATGCCCACAAGCCACTTTTTAAAGGCGTTGCTATGGTAACCACTGCTTGGTGAGGCCAAGGCAGGATTGTAGCAGTTAAGCTCCAGGAAGCAGGGAGTTTGCAGGGGACAGGCCCTCTGGCTTCTTGCACACATAGTGACCTCACCTCCTCCTCCAGCCTCCTCCCCCACAGGGTGAGCTCAGAGTGTGTGAGAGAAGCTTCTGCTGAGCCCTACAGCCTACCTCATGTCCCACCACCCCATGCAAGCTGGGCAGCCATGGCAGTGGTGGCAGATCCAGCTCCCAAATCTGCCTACTGTTTCTTCACTATAAATAAGGTAACCTTTATTTCTACCTCAGGGGTAGAAATAACTATTTTGTGATTTGTGCCTCACCTGTCAAAAAAGTCAAGAGCCGCCACTGAATAGCTCATAACAAACAGATCTATTAAGTCTGAAAAGGTTCAAATGGTAACAAATAAAATGGAAAAATTAACATCGGACCTGAGCATACTTGTACTGTAACAGTAAAAATTAGCTTAGTCAGGTCACTAGGGCTATTAATTAGTCCTTTTTTGACACCCCCTTTCTCTGCTGACTGCATCGGGTGGCTTATTTTAAATTTAGTGAAAATGGTCTTTGCCTTCACATTACCAAAAATGATTAGTCCTTGTTGCCATAAGCAATGAAACCAATATATAATTTTCATTTTCTTATCAAAATAATTTTAATTACAAATGCACAAAGATGTCTATTAGAGCCATACATAATAACGGAACATTCCAATGTTAGAGCTGGACAATGTGTGTGTGCGTAGAATGAATGCCCTGCTGCATTCGGGTACAACAGAATGTTTTGCAAAATGTTTTCAATATTATACAGAGTGTGTGTCTGCGTATTATATTGTACATGATACACACACATGTATATACACACACACATATACAGAAACAAACCTGTACAACCGAACCTTTCCAGCTAGCTGGCTAAGTTCCATTGCTTGCTGGTCTGCACATCATTATCAACTGTCAATTATTAGCATGTGAACTGCACGATGAATGGATCCTGTACTAAATTAACTCATCAAAAACTTATTCAGGCTGGTGCTAGTAATAAGGTAGAAAGATCAGGGTTGTAGGAAGGAACTAAATTTAGTAGAGCTAGTATGAGAGGAAGTGGTATACGTGATATTCTGTGAGAATGTGAGAGAAATAACCCCAGCTATTTGCTGGGTTATAGTCTTACTAAGCCAACAGGGTCAAACACTCATTAGAGGAATCATGGATCTTTAGACTCCTCGTATCCCCTTGTTGCCACTAAACTGACAGATTTCCACATATCCATGCAATTTGAACGCTCTCTTTGAGAGCTGTTTAACCATCCTTGCCAACGATTGATTACCTTCCTTTGCAGCTCATAAAAATCCTTCTGAACAGCATTTTATTTGTGTTTTTAGAATGGACCGGCTTACTCAGTATTCTTTAAAAACACCCCAGGAAGGTCAATCCAATCCCCCACGAGGTTTTAATACCCAGCCCCAACTTCAAATTACACAAGTTTAACACAGTGCTACACTCTCTTTATACACCGTGTTTTCAGGAAAAAGTAAGAAATATTTTCAGCAAAGAGTCAATGTAAGTTTCTGGTCTTCCTCATTGGTTATGATAAGATGGTGTTTTTGTCTACATGGGATAACATACCTCTGAGAAACGGGATTTATCACAAATCAGGGGAAACATTTTGTGGAAATCCTTTGTCAAAATATCTCTGGTCCTACACATCGCAGTAGCAGAGATAAGAAATTCAGTGCTATATGTATAGCAGAAACTTTATATCCTAGAGAGTCTTAAGTTTTACAAACCACCACTGGAAGGGAAAAGAGTTAGTGTGGTGCTACATATAAAAGAAGTTGAGAAAAAACAGCCCTTTAAAACAGACCCAGTAAATACTCTGGGTGATATTGCTTTTACAGGTCTTTCATTCATCCATATTATTTGTCCTCCCACTCTCTTTTTTCTCAAGGTTTCGGTTAAACAAGGTTATATTTTCTGGACCAATATACATGGCAGAGATCTCTCAAGATTCCTGTTCCTTTGAACTCCTGACAAAATGTGGAAATTCAAAATTGAAAAAAGATGTACAGTAGAAATCAAGAAACTTACACTACATTTCTAAAATAATATAAATATATATGTTTGTGTATATACTGTATAATATCCAATTGGCACCTGAAGATCAAATATTAATTACATATTCAGCTTGATGACTGTTGCCTTTCAGAAAATAAATAAGGCTATCCTCCCCAACTCCTTTCCAAGCCATGTATTAGAAACACCACTTCGATACACTTTCAGAACCACTACTTTACAGCATACTATCCAGCTTCTCACATAAAAATGGGAGGGGAAAATAAAAGCTAGTAACCAAAACCATCCAAAATAAAATTTAAGTTAACAGCAACTTTTTTAAAGAGGAAGTTTATCTGGTTTATGTAACAATACCTAGAACTATGTTAACAGTCTAAGCGATCTCTTTAACACAGGTACATACATAAAGTATTTACACAAAAGAAAATGGGGAAAAAAAGAACAGATATTACATGAGATAAATTAAATGAAGCATGCATTGATATCTAGTAATAAAAACAGAAAAGTAAAGTAATTAAGAACAATGTCTATAGCAAATATTTACAATAGGATGCTGTTATTCACATATAGTGGTACTTACATCCCTGTACAGCCAAATCTACAGCCCAAACCAAAGTCAGATGTGAAAGAAAGCACAACAATGTCAGTGAGTACTGGGACGTAGAACAAGGAAAGTGTACATTTTGTTCTTAAAAAAAAAAAAGCTTTCAATAATTTTGTAGGCACAACATGCAAAAAGTTTCACACACAGAAGCTGGCAAGGTGAAAGGGAGAAATCCATGCAACCACTTACATCTATATAGTTTGCATTAATGTAATCTGAAGAAGGATCATCCTCAACAGGTTGCAAAATCACTCTGGAGTGGTCATCTGTAAATTTAATATAAGAAAAAAACAAAACAAAAATAGGTAATAGAAGTTCCTTCAGACCTGGCTTGAATATAAATATAAAATAAATGGCAGGCAACAGTAAATTACAATGATCTAGTGCACTGGAAAGGCTTCTGAGGAAACTACTAGTGCTTGACAATTTAAAATCTTTAAAATGGAGGGATTACCTTATAGTTACACAGAGAGGGGTCTTTTGTCTGAGGGTCTGAAAGCGTTTCACAACGGTTAATAAGTTTCATTACCCCTGTGTAGTTAGTAGGTATCACAATGATACATAAGGTAAATAGAGACAAAGAATCTATGTGATTTGGCCGAAGTCACAAAACAAGTTAGTGGCAGAGATGGTAAACTAGAAACCCAAAAAGTCCTGACTATTATGAGTCCTTTGCTCCCACTGTCATGTAACTTCATATATAGCTCCTTAAAAAACTGCAATGTGCATATTAGCAACATGCTTTCAATCATTTAAATGTGATGAGTGGCATTATTATTGCATACACAATTCCCATATAAAATGTTAATCAAATATGTTTACCCTGTGTTTGAATCTAAGACCTGGTCTACACCCCTTAGTGGCATAGTTAACCTGACCTAACCCCCAGTATTGAGAGTGCTATGTGGACAAAAGAATTATTCCGTTGACCTAGCTACAGCCTCTCAGGGAGGTGGATTACTTACACCACCGAGAGAGAAGCCCTCCCGTTGGAGTGGGTAGTGTGTACACTAAAGCGCTATAGTGGTGCAGCTGTGCCTCTGTAGCATTTTAAGCATAGACATACTCTAAGCTATCAAAAGCATTATGTCTAAGGATTCGAGAGAGTCAGGACTCCCTGCTCCCAGCCATCAATGTAAAACACACCTATGTTACACAACTGGGGTTCAGACACAATGGCTACAAGGAACAACAACAACAACAAAAAGAGCATGTGGACAGTCTGATATACTTTAACCTGGAATACAATTATAGTTGCACAAAACTACAATTAATGTAACATTCAAAGGGATTTTGTTACTCTGTCACTCATATATGTTTAATCTCCACATGCATTTTATGTACAAACAAAAATTAAACACACATTAGCCCTGAAGGGAAAGAATCTGACAATGGCACAAATTCTGAAGATAGCACTGTATTTCTACATTGATCAATAATGAGCATTTGATTTTATAAGCAGATGTGCCACTGCATTTTTTATTTTTACTTTAAAAAGCTGTTCAATAAATACAGCAGCATATGACAATTAATATCAGCACAGTCAAACACTGACTGCAAGCCATCTAGGAACTTACATGCTATAATGTTTCCATATCGGTTCTTTGTTCTGTTTTGATCCTTTTTAGCGACATCCCAAGATGCTGACTGTCCCTCAAAGAAACTCTATTAAAATATATATATATAGATAGATAGATAAGGAAATTATTTTAGTAAAACCTATGTAAATTTTGAAAACAACATTGCTAAGGACATCTTTTTTAGGATAGCATGATTATGTCCTGACAGTTCTCTATCATAAAAGAATCTCAGTTTTGATTATCTGATCTGTCACCCACTAGCTTCCTTGATAGCAGAAGTAGAAATTTAGCTATAGGAAGAGGGAAAGTCTCTCTCTCAGGCTAATGAATCAGTCACTGACTGATTTCCAAAGGGATTTCAAACCCAGTCCTCCTGGCCCAAAATAGATGGAGGTATGATGGAGGCTTGATGGAGGGCTGGAAATGGACAGGCAAGTGCTCAGCGGTCTTCACAAGGTGGGGAGGAAGGAAAAGAAGAGGAATCCCAGATTAAATATACACAGACTGACCCTCCCCCCCTCTTATAATGTACCATAATATATTCAGACACCTACTACCTGTTCCATAATTTTACTTAGAGTGGAGCAGGTATTACTCTTGAACACAGCAATCATGAAGACTCCTCCTAAAACTCTTGCTGTTCGTGCTCTTATTTTAAAGCTAAAACTTCAAAACTACTAGCAAAACATTTTCAAACTCCTCTCCATATTGTGAAGGGTGTAAAATAAAGGTTGCTATCTCAGCGATGGCAGATGAGACTTTTCTCTGTGTTCTTTTCCATTGCCCACAACTTGTATACCACGCTTCTATCTAACTGCTGAAGGCATGTGCCACTATAGCTTCCTTTCTGGGTGTTGTGCTGCCCCTACCTGGGAGATCAGCCACAGAAACAGAACAGTCACTATGGAAACAAAATTAAAAGCACATTCTCCACCATTGGCCCACGTTAGGGCAAGGAGAGATGAAGCAGGAGGCCATTCATCAGAAGTAGAAATCAGGGACTAAACTAGTCACTGCTCTTTGTGCATTATGGAAGCACAGCCCTAAAATGAAGCACGGTATAAGAAAACACTGACAAAGGGGAAATGCATGCAAGTGAAGAGGGGAAAATGGCAGGGGTATGATGAAAACAGCTATGCATCCGCATTAAGTCTTGTTCTCCTATTAAATTCATAAGTAGGTGGTGGGGGGAGGGCTCTAAATGTAATCAGCACAGTTTACCAAGCAAGTGGAAACTGTTACATCATTTTAAATATAGTTGTAATTGTATGCAAACTAGGCTGTAACACTTTACTGGATGTACTGTTTCTGACATTCTAACCTCATGGATTCATCCCAGAGAATCCAAAGCCAGAGGTGGAGGAGAGCTATCTGTCCATCTGTACCCACCCTCCACCACCAGTGCTGGATTTTTCACTGTTGGTCCTTAGTCCAGACTACTGTCATTTGGAATGTCTCAAATAATAGAACTCCTCTCCCCACCTCACTCTGGGATTATCCCACTACCTAATATATCTCACTGTCAAATTTTCTTTCATCCCATTACAATTAGTTTAATCCCTCTGCAACCAAGAGCCATCATATCAAACAAGATACTGTACTCACAAGGGGTTTTTCTGATAAGAATAATTCATGAATAAATCACTGAAGTTCTACCTCATATTCCTCTTTAAAACCATAGCTATCAGATGTCTTCATGAGGTTAATATGTTGCAGCAAATCAGCTACTCTGATGGCCGGATGCAGCTGTCCAGTCTGGTAAGGGGACTCTGTTCCTTCACAAAGGTAGCGAGGGACATCCAGCAGGCGACTGGACTCGGCTGTCGCACTGTGATTCTCATCTGTGGTTACAAAAACCCAGAGAAGTAAGTAACATTTATTCTAACACTAGTGTATACATTTGAAATGAATCAACTACAGTAAAATTTTCAGCCTATTATTGAAACAGAGACTTACAGTTTCTCATCACTTCACCTTCCCCCAAAATTTCTGAGTGTGCAAGCCAGCACCTACCGCATTCTGGGTGTTAAATTTAATTTATTTATTTGATTACAAACACACTGAAAAGATTGAGATTCTCTTTTCTGTAGAGCAGAAGGTCTAAGGGTACTTCATTAAAAAGCTACAAAGATCGTTAATGGTCACTTTTTAGAAAACTTCACTTTCTCACTGTTATCCAAAATTTAAACTTTTCTGAAACAAGCTTATGTAATAAAGACAACAAAACTATGAAATGAGCAACAGAATGAGGATAGCTCTTCTGTGCTTCCAGCTCACCATGGTTCTACATCCAGAATCAGTGAGTTCAGATCCCAGTTCAAAAAACAAACAACCTCCCCCCACCAAACATTATAGATTACAGCTATACCATTTGTTATTAAAAAATCTTCATATCAGGGTTCAGCCTACATAATCCATTTGGGATGAAGAACCAACACATACAGAAGTGGAGACTTTAATACTATCATTGTGCCACCTATCCTTCAACTGAACAGCTGAGTTGTCAAGTGCCCTGATTTCAGCTGGACACTCTCCATTTTAAGTAAAGAAAGAAATACTATTTATAAAATGAGTATGTAACAATCCTCTCCTCCTGAAGGATTCCAAAGCACGACTCAAACCTAAACGGATGTATAAACTCCATAAAGGGATCACTTCTTACACTATTGACAAGGAGTCAACGACTTTTGTGAAATGCTAATAGCACACAGCAATTCTACTGACTGGTTCGCACAGGAAGTAAAGGTGAATGCCACTTTCAAAATTCCAATTAAAATTACAGGTAGTATTTAGAAAGATAGAATGTAATACAGAAACCAGATTTTGGCTACTTGGCCACTCGAAGTATGTTGCTGCTGTTTTCATGCTTTCTTAGGCAAAAACTGGTTTATCATTCCAAGTCATTCCATAAGAGATCCAACACCCATACATGCTATTTTGCAATCAGTCCACTCTTGTCCCTTCCAAAGAAACGAGCAGAAAGCCCTAGCAATATAGCCAGCATTTCAAGGTCTGGACAGAGAGCCTTGCATTTAAAAATTCTCTACAATTCTGCCAAAAGTGCACAAAATTTGAATGCTGTATCAAATGCAATCTTAAAGTAAGTAACCTCGCTCCGTAAGCTGTTACACAAGAGTTGCTAATTTCAATACATTTATGCCTCATTAAACCACCTAATAGCATGAGTGACATGTACCAGTCACTTTTACTGTAGTATTATATATATTAAACCATACACATTTCAAATATTCTCTTGATGTGCAGTTCTCTTTAGTTTCTTCCAATATACTTACCAGTAATAGGCACTTTAACCCATTGAAGCAGCAAAAAACAAAGAGTGAACAAGAACATAAGAAATTTATTTGAAGTCTGTATTAGATTAGAAAATGACTAAACGATAAATAGCATTAAAAGTTATGAGGCTTTATAATACTTCAAATAGTTTCTAAAATATAATGGCTATATCATGACATCGATTTTTAAGTAGAGCTCCCCACTGAATCCAATGGAATGGTATGGATCTAAGAAAACCAAAATTATCAGAATAACTTACTATTAGATAATGTATGTAGAATGGAATGAGACACTAACGTGCTAAAAATGAACTAAAAAAATCATTCAAATGTCTAGTACCACTACAACCTAACACAACCGTTAGCTAACATAAGACTTATTTGCTATAGTTCTGGTCATATGAAAAACTGCTCATCTGTGAAAAACAAATGAAAAGTATGCTGAGATGAGAATACATACAGAAACTATTAAACTCTCCTTCAATTAACCCCTAGGGCTTGCTCTTCACAGTTATATGTCACAGTATAGTTTCAACAGATTTACCATTGGCTATCAAGAAATTTGTTTCACCTACATGAATTAGTAGTTTCAGTAGTTCTAATGTCATTGCAAATATAATTGGACATGGCCTACATGAATAGTAAAAGCCTGAGATAACGCGTATTAGAAAAAAGCCTCCCAAAGAAACACAATAGGGAAAGTTCAATGTTTAAATACCACCCAATCAGTAAGTCTAATTTTGCTGACTTTTTAGTAGTAAAGCAGCCATGGTAACTGACTGAACTCTAATATCATTCATTAGATTATATCAAGTCAGAAAACAGGATACAAATTTTATTTTTCCACTGCGTTTTTAAAACCATTTTCTAAAAAACAAAGTTCTTCAATATTGTTTGTAAAGCCAAAAATAGAGTAAAATAAAATAAAATAATAAAACAATACAAAACAAAACCTCTTCAATTTTTGAAATAACTCCAAAGTCACCACTGCCTATCACTCAGGGGCATTTGAAAACTTTAATTACATAAAGGGTGGAAAGCATAAATCAAGATTTTATTAATCTTTCCTGCATATTAGATATTTAATCTCCCCCTCCTCCCAATTCTTTAGTTAGAAAATAGAGCTTGGGGTGCTATCTAATCATAATATAGGCTTTTGTTTTGTTTCCCCCCACCCCAGGTTCTAGCCTCACAGATCGATTCATCTGGATTAGTCCTAGTGCCATGGGGAGGTGAATACCTATAACATTTTACAACTGTTATCATTTTGCTCCTATTCACTTAGCACTCAGAGTAATTTTAAATGCAAGAATTAAAGATTTTTTTTTTTGCATTGACACTTATTTCAACTTTAACTGAACTGATAAACTGAGTATAGAGTTGAATATACCTGCATTGTCTGATAATAGCTTGGCTATCTATTATCTAAAACAAGCAGCTTCAATACTGCATACAATGTATTTGTTGACAGAGCTATAAACCATGCAAGGAGATGAAATCCATGCAGGAACAGAGGATGAAGGACTAGGTCCTCACCTAACACAGCAGTCGGCACAAGTGGATCATTGGGCACTGCAGGAAAACAAAGCTCATGAAGAAATACATTACCCTTAATTAGTGTATTTTTAAGAAGAAAAACAACAACATGATAAAATGCACAGTGAAACTCCCATTAATTTTGTTACAGCAAACAGAGAATGTATACTTCCAGTTTACTGGACATCATACATAACAGAGGGGAAAGGGTATCTCTTATGTGCAGTATATTTATATTAATAGCTAAAACAAAATAAACTTCAGCTGCATTAAATTAGGCAATGATGTTCCTAAGTATAAAGATACAAGCAGAAGAGATTCTTATTTGCAATGAAGTCCAATAAGATATCATATGCATTTAATTCAACAAGCTTTTATTCCTGGAAGGGACACGGTCCCTCACTAGTCTTCATTAGCAGTGACATAATAGCTCACTTTTACAGAACTATGCCTTTCCTTTTCAACCCAACCCATCCCTTAATGTGCAACCTTTTCCCAAATACCCCAATTCCAATAACAAAGGGTGTTCCTTAAAAGCTTGCCAATTATCTTAGAAAACTAAATAAATATTTACAGTTAATAGCCTCATTATTTGCAGTACTCAAGGTATTTCCTATAATAAGTACAGGGGAAAAAACAAGGAAACGCTGCACATACTGATGTAACCATACCTTAGTTAAAATTGGTAGGATTTTACAGGCCCTGATTAGAGCTGTTGGGAGAAATGTATTCCATTTCATGGAGGATTTTGATATTTCAAAATTTGATTTTGTTCTGATTTGGAACGAGAACAAAAAAATTCAAAATTTTTTGCAAAATGGAATAAAGTCAGAGCCATGGGGCAATCTGCCTGGTTGGCTGCTCCAAAGCTGCAGCCCCGGGAAGCCTGGGAGTCAGCATTCCCAGGGCTTCCAGACTGGCTGCTGAAGAGCTGGCTGAGAGAGCTGGCAGGAAACCAGGCAGGTTGCCAAACTTGCCTGGCAGGCAGGTTGCCATAGGAGCCCTGCCTCAGTTCTGTTTAGATTCTGACGAATTAGCAGTCGCTGGCAAAATTCTGACCAACTCTAGCCACAATTGTACACAGCCACTAGTATAGCACCTTAACTCCATACAGAAGTGTGGCAAGCTAGGTTGCTATTAAACTGAAATTGGATAGGAGATGCTTAAAGAATGTGGTCTCCACCGCATATTGAGCTGGACTGACCTGAACAGCGAGATCTAAGATTACCCCCCAATTTTGTTTCCTATATCACAATATAACACAATGCTGCCAAACCACCAAGAGAGTTTCTGCTCAGAGTTCTAACTGCCTCCAAGTGCAGAAAAGTTAAAAACTAATTTTTGACATTATCACCTACATTTTAAATTTTCCCCAACAATATTAAGGAGCAATAATGCAACAGATCAAAGATCACTGTTATAATTACTACTCAGTTCTGAAATGAATCATGAAGTTTTTGCAAGTACTGATATAGACTGTGATTCAGGAAAGCATTTAATTACATCCTCAACATTGACTTAAGTGAGACTTAAATGCCTTCCTGAGTCATGACCTTATAAGTACTATAGTAAGGGAGTGTGTGTCTTGGGGTGGGGGTGGAGTGTCGATCCTCAAAACAACACATTTCATTAGTAACCTTTCCTGTCTTCACAGAAATATAAGTATGTAGCAAACATGCATTTTACAAAAGGATGGGAAGTTGAATTGTTGTTCCCTGTTGCAACGTCCTCACCTCCAAAAGGGAGAAACTTATTCGGAGCTCATGCAAAAAAAGAGCTAATTGATTATGGTTACAGACATTTGCAAAGTCATTACTTAATAATTTGATATACAATGCCTTTGCATGGGAAAATAATATTTTGGAATGCAATTTAAAAAGGTGCTATAAAAACACAGAATCAACTCTAGAAGATGTACTAATCAGTACTAACTATGACTGGTTGGAAGTATATCAAACATGATGACACACTCCTATGGAAAAATACTCCCAACCCATTATACATAAGCATTCCTTTCTAAATACTTTTATTTCTCTTATCTCCCACTGAAATCTACATTTGTAGATTGGTCCTATATGCCAGTGGTTCTCAACCTTTCCAGAATACTGTACCCCTTTCAGGAGTCGGATTTGTCTTGTGTACCTCAACTTTCACAACACTTAAAAACTACTTGCTTACATACAAAAGTGTCACAGCACAGGATTACTGAAAATTTGCTTACTTTCTCATTCTTACCATGGAATATTAAATATTGTACTTACATTTCAGTGTAGAGCAATATAAACAAGTCATTGTCTGCATGAAATTTTAGTTTGCACTGACTTCACTAGTGCTTTTTGCCTGTTGTAAAAGTAGGCAAATATCGAGATGAGCTGATGTACCCCCCAGAAGACCTCCACGTACCCTTGGTTGAGAACCAGTGCTATACGCAACAAACCAGAAAAGCACACTAATCTGCCTTTCCTATTCCCTTATAGCCAACTACAGTCAATAGGATCTAGCGCTGTTGTACTTACATCTGGGGCTGAAGTTATGAGAGTCCATAAATGTGATTGAGAGGGGATCCTCTGCATGAAGGGTGCTCTGATCAGCGTAACTCCTATCCATCGCATTCACCATGTGTGTCATTTCTTGTCTGGTGTTCCCCATGGCGTCCTTGCGTTTCTTAGCAAGTTTGCTGCCCAGCCAAGAAAAAAAAAACCCAAAACACCTTAATATTTGATGAAACATTAACACCTGCTATAGTTAATTAACGGTGCATGTGAGTGAGGCTTGGTGGCAACAAGCAAAGGCCGATGATCCAATAAGCATAGCTGCAATTATATTTCCTGCTCCTTGAGAGAAAGAGAGAATATAATATTTATGCTGCATAAATACTTTAATATGCAAGTTCTTATTTCCATACCTAGTGATATTAATTTTTTGCCAGAGAGTAATTATACTAATATAAACAAATTAGAGGTTGTAGTTATATTTTAACTAAAATGATAAATAAGTATCATCTGTACATGCAATTTTATCAACCATTCCCATTTAAGTCTACATTTTGATTTTATAACTGGATAATTCATTTCCCTGTTCTTCCTATTAGGGAAAAATCATTTTACCACTGAGATTACTTTATTAGCCAAGAAATCCAACAACACAACATAATTATCCAAAGCAGATTAATGGTACATTTCATGTTAGGAGCTGCTCCTTCCCTTTACATACACAATACTAAATGGTATGAGATTTCTTTATCTTTCCTGATGCTATCTTTTTTGTTCAGACAAATCTGTATTCTATGCAATTTGAGAACACTAGATTTTTTGAATGAGCAACCACAGACTGTGAATGTATCACACACATATGCCTTAGCACCCTGAATTGTATAGCTAAAACCAAAATGTAACAGTCGCTGCACATGAATTGCACATTGAGGAAATAGTTCAAGAAACTCTCTTTATGAATGCAGCACTGCAAGTGACTCATTGCCCTTTGAAGTCAGAGCCAATAGGTGATAGTCGTCATTTTAAGACTACTGTATTTAAAGTCTTAAATGTGCAAGATATTACATAAAGTATTCTTTAGGTCTTCATGAATGATCTACATACATTTTATTATATTAATGAATATGATTGCGATGTTGCAGTCTATATGGTTTTATAAAAATACGTTAATGAGTGAATATAATGTAACTGGGATATGCTTCTTGCAAAAGGTCTCTTGTAAGGTAGCATTACAAAGCTTATAATCTACTGAGTGTTATCATCCTATTTGTATAAATGTACCACTCTTGTATCTGGGACTAGAAATATGAAATATAACTCTGAGGGCCTATTGTAATTATGCAAAGTGTGGGCCATTAATGGTGGTCTGGAATCTTGATGACTCCCATTAACCAGGACAAATGACTGCAGATGGCTCTGTTTTACCTGTAAGTCTTCCTATATACATGTGTACTGGCAAGTGGGTAATGAAGTCTTGCAGTGACATGTGATCATGTCACCTGAACTGGAATCCATCTTTAACCTGGTGTCTTTCCATTGAGAAGGAGGGGGTGGGAACCCAGAGAGGGACAAAGGATTCCCGCCTTATGCAAAAGATATATAAATGGGTGGAACAGAACAAAAAGAGAAGCCATCATGAAGAATCCCCTAGCTATCACCTGAGCTGGAACAAGAGCTGTACCAGGGGAAAGAATTGTGCCCAGGCCTGGAAGGTGTCCAGTCTGAGGAAAAAACTTACTGAAGCATCTCTAAGGGTGAGATTATTTGTATTCAGTTTGATTAGACATAGATTTGCGTGTTTTATTTTATTTTGCCTGGTCACTTACTTTGTTCTGTCTGTTACTACTTGGAACCACTTAAATCCTACTTTCTGTATTTAATAAAATCACTTTTTACTGATTAATTAACTCAGAGTATGTATTAATACCTGGGGAGGCAAACAACTGTGCATCTCTCTCTATCAGTGTTATAGAGGGCGAACAATTTATGAGTTTACCCTGCATAGGCTTTATACAGGGTAAAACTGATTTATTTGGGTTTAGACCCCACTGGGAGTTGGGCATCTAAATGATAGAGACAAGCACACCTCTGTAAGCTGTTTTCAGTTAAGTCTGCAGCTTTTGGGCACTTGGTTCAGACCCTGGGTCTGTGTTGGAGCAGACGGGTGTGTCTGGCTCAGCAAAATAGGGTGCTGAATTCCCAGGCTGGCAGAGGGAAAGCAGGGGCAGAAGTAGTCTTGGTACATCAGGTGGCAGCTCCGAAGGGGGTTTCTGTGATCCAACCCATCACAATGATAAAATATTTAAAATTATTATTGTGGTAACAACTATAGCTCAAAGCATTATGGCTAAGATAACCATTTAGCATGGTCTTCTTGGATGAACCACAAGTACCATATAGAAAAGAGGTAATCAGCATAGCAAATACTGTATGTTGAAAATCTATTTTTTTTAAAAGCAGTTTAATTTCATGATCTTTTTCTGTCCAAAAGCAATGTTATTACTATAGTGTTAAATGCTTTTACAATTTGCATATCTATCTTGTATTTCATGGGATAAAACTTCTGTTAGAGCCTTCTAGTGTTGGCTGCAAAATTTCAATATTCTGCAGCTACACAGGAGAGGTTAGTGAGGAAAATACTACTGTAGGTTATGTATGCCATCAGCTAGGTATGTGCTAGGATTTAGGACAGACCAGAATAGGGAAGTATGATCTACCCTGGTCCAGAAATAGGAAATGGGGCTCTCTCTCCACTAGATACTAATTCCTTTGAAGTCTATTTCTTAGGTTTCACAAACTTGATTCAGCTTTTAAGGTCCACCAAGAAGTGTTGAAGATAGACAAGGCAAAGCAGACCTGAGAACTGGTCTCGCATATAATCAAGCAGGGAAAATTTTTAGATGATCTAACTCCTTCCTCTCCTTGATACTTTCATCCTAACAACCACCAGTCTTTTAAGGAAGTCATGAAGATCTTCTCAGACTATTATTCTTTAATTAAAGCCGGAGGGGTCAAAAATTTAGAATTTTGATGTCCAAAAATAAACAAGTTCACATGATTCCATTAGTGAATAATACATTTTTGGTGTCTCCTTAAAACACTTTATGTTATAGGTTTTCTCCAGGCAAGCATTTTTAGAGTAATTAGCAAAGTTTGTTTATGTAATACTCCAGCTGAACAAACCTTTAAATTTGTAAAAATAGAAGCCCCAGAACTGAAAATGCTCCAGATTTATTACTGCTCTCTAATTCTGTCAAAGCTTTTCTGAAACTGGCATTTCTAGTTCAGACTCTACTTTTCTAGTATCAAAGTTTTTCAGATATTTTCCAGACATTAAACCTCCCATTTGTAAGGCCCCTAGTTTTAAAGGCCACCTCTGGAAAGGAACAAAAAAGGTTAAGTCTAATCTCTCAGCTACACTAAGCCCCCTTTTAAAGCACCACTTTGTAACAAAATTTGCTAGCTATGCTACATAAATCAGCAGCCACTGAAAAGCTTTACTACTTATTAATGTATAACAGTAGTTTACTATTAATTCTTCTGCTTTGTGTCAACTTCCTCAAAAAAGGCCCATTGTATTCTAGCACTGCAATTTATTGACTCCTTGTAGGCCTGATCTTTTCTAAAGGCACATCCAGTCAGACAGTTAAGTAATTTATTATGCAAGTACTTGAGACTGACAGAAGCATAAATGTTTCTCATTGTCTATCAAAGGATCCAAGTGCATAAACCTAAGGCAGGTGGGTGTTTCAGGGGGTGTCAAGAGGGAAAAAGTGCTCTATCATATTATGAAACTATGCAGTTAATTATCTTTGGCTGAAGCAATTCTTATTTAACAAGGAAATTACAATTCATCACAATGAAGTAGAGAATGGCAGTGTTAGTTTACAACAGCTCGTTTAACTTCTTCAGTTTATTATATGAAGTCAAGTAAATAACCTGTTTAAACAAAAATGTAGAGGGGCATCCATAATCAGGCACATGCTTTAGTCCAGTGGTTTTCAAACGTTTTTTCTCGCGATACAGTTGAAGAAAATTGTTGATGCCCGCGACCCAACGCAGCTGGGGATGAGGGATTTGGAGTGTGAGAGGGGTTCTGGGCTGGGGCAGGGGTTGGGGTACAGGAGGGGGTCAGGGCTCTGGGTGCAGGCTCTGGGATGAGGCGTTTGGGGTGCAGGAAGAGGCTCCGAGTTTGGGGAGGACTCAGGGCTGGGGGTTGGGGCGTGGGCTTCCCTCTGGCGGCTCCCAGTCAGTGGCACAGCAGGGGTGCAGAGACAAGCTTCCCACCTGTCCTGGCACTGCGGACCGCACTGCGCTCTGGCAGTGGCCAGCAGCAGGTCGGCTCCTAGGTGAGGTGTGCAAGCAGCTCCCGCCCACAGGCACCGCCCCCGCCAGCTGGGAACCGGCCAATGGGACTGCGGAGCCAGTGCTTGGGGAAGGGGTAGCACGCGGAGCCCCGAGACCCCCCTAGGAGCCGGACCTGCTGCTGGCCGCTTCTGGGGTGCAGCACAGTGTTAAAACAGGTAGGGACTAGCCTGTCTTAGCCGGGCAGCATCACCAACGGGACTTTTAACGGCCCAGTTGGTGGTGCTGACCAGAGCCGCCGTGACCCAATGCCTTCCATTCCGCGACCTAGTACTGGGTTGTGACCCACAGTTTGAAAACCACTGCTTTAGTCCCTTTGAAATGAATGGGACTTTATGCACATCCTTAAATTTAAGCACATGCTCAAGCACTTTGCTCAATCAATGCCTACATCATTACAGATCTTACAAAAATTCATTTGGTTGACAGACAAAAATGTAATTCTGCTACAATGAAGCAAAGTTTCTGCTATACAGTATAAAATAATACTTTTGCTTGCGTATGCAGATTGCCCAATGAGCAATAGAGAAAGACCTTGTATACAACAGACATTTTTGTAAAAACAATTCCCATTGTTGCTCCCACCATTGTAAACATCCTGCCCTCCAGGCAGCATGCAAGAGCCTGTTTACATGTTTGAAATTTACATCTGATTTGCATACTACAGGTGTTACGCAATATCAGCTGCAAACGTACTTTCTCTATATTGACTTATTCGTGTTAAATAAAAACAAAAAATAGTGGTTCACAACCATGGTTCCCTATGCGAGAGCTACTACACAAGACATTTTGTAGTGTGATGTGTAAGTTTGATATAGAATGCAAATCAAAATGTGACTATATTAACTAAAATGATAATTATGGAAAAAAAGATAGGCAAAGAGTAAAAATCTCAATATACAGTTATAAATACAATATCCCTTTAAAAAAAAACAAGGTAAAATAGGAAAACCACAAGGGAACCTTTAGAGCCCCTAAGACCAAGGAAATGTATCAAGAATTGAAATTTAGCAAAATTATAAAGACTGTATTTTTCTTTTTTAAAAAGGGATACTGCATCTTTAAAACATGTAAAGTAGTAAGTCACCCATTTTCTACTTACAGATAGTAGGAGTAAGAATAGTAGCTCCTCCTGGCAAGCAAATCACAGACAGTGGAAAAAGAGAAGCAATGGTGAATGAAAAGCGTGACTCCGTCACATTGAACAAAGCAGAGAAATGTGTGTTAAAAAAAAATTGAAAAATTCATGTTTCTTCGGTTAGCATTTCAACTTGCTCATGCACTGATTAGCTTTACTTTGCCATGCAATTAAAAAAATACACTAGCATATAAAAATGATTTGGTTTTTAGAGAGAGATCACTTGAGAAAATTACATGCTGACATTTAATCTACTGCCAAAAAATGGAAAATTAAATGGATTATGTATTTTCAACATGAAGTTCAGCATAGTATGATGATCAATTACTACCTAAATGTCATGATAAATGGAATAGCTGTGTACAAAGCCTGTGCACTAAATATGCTTTTTACTTTTCAGTTACAAAAACTAAAGATTGTATTAATATACTTGGTCAGAAAACCACTAAATTTAATGAAGACATTTTAAAGTCTTTACTGATACACAGGTGTACATATATGTTTGCAGACATACTGTATGTACATATATGTGTACACTCATACCATATACAATACACATTTTACAGCAGATGTATGTGTATACTGATACCTATATATACACACACATTTGCTGAATGCAAACATATATTTTATATTTTTAAATCTGACAGTCAGAAATGTTGATGTATGCATGCTAAGCATTTAAAAATATGGAAGGTAAACAAATGGAAGGAAATGAAGTACATTTGCTAATAGTCCAACAATTAAAAAAACTGCCATTGCTATTTGAAAGATGCAGTATCCCTTTTCTTAGTTTGATTACTTTGTAAAACTGTGTAAGAGCCAATAGAGTTTCATCCAGTTGAACGTAAAGCAATTTGCACAAAATGATCAGGCAAAGCATAAACCATCTCTTAGACTTGTGAAATCATGAACAGAACGGCTTACCACTCAGGTTTTTTTCTTCATTAAAAGATAAAGCCACATTTAATCAAATTTAGAGATCTATGTTAACATGAGACTTATTAAACCCATGGGAATGAGTAAATTCATTGTATTGTTAATTTTTTTATATAATAGCTATAATCAATCTCAGGTATCAAAAGGGATACTACATTATGGAATCACTGGATATGTATGCTGATATGTAACTTATCAAATTTTCAATCCCACCAAAGCTAACTGAAATGTGTGTTTGCATGTGCGAGAGAGAGTGTGTGTATGTGTGCGCGCGCGAGAGAGAAAGATGTTCCATCTGTTCATGGATTTATTATACAAATTGTCCTGATTCACCAGAGGGACTGAATTAACTTAGGTATGTGTATACCAGTCTCTTAATATTTTATATATTTATTGTAAGTGACCTTGACTAAGGGTTGATCTAAAAAATTATCCACTTTTCCTGAGGGGAAAAAACTGAATGATCTTTATATATTCAACAAATGACCAATTAAACTATCATTGTGAAAAATTACCAAACATTAAAGATTCATTAAATAGGTTAATTTTCCCACCTATTTTGAATACAGAATGTTACAGAAGTTTTAATGTATTATGCATTTTTAGACAGATGATAAAGTATAACTTCTAACATATTATTGCTTGCAGGGTTTTATACAGGGAGAAAAGTTTTAAAGTATCATTTTACTGACATTGTTAATTTATCTTCATCAAGCAATTTAATACATTAGGAATTAAAGCTTCATTTAAAAACTAGTGAAAGCAAGAGTTCAGGAAGGCTCGGAATGTAAGAATGAACACATCTGCTAATGAATGTTTTCACATGCCCCTTGAAGTTTTATGCAGTTCTTACCCACAAGATTAGCCAATCCCGTTTGGAAGTGACTGGCAATATATAATGGGGAGCTGGTCACATACAATCTTGTATCAAATATGAGGGGACCACGGTGAAAAGATATGTACCAGCGATATATCTTGCAATACAGATCAAGCAAAATTCCTTGCTGAAAGTTGAAAAAAAATCTATATATTGCTCTTCACAATTTGTGTAAATAGAGAAAATAATAAGAATTTATGTCTTTTTAAAATATCATGACTTGCTTTTTTGTATATGCATATAATTCTCAACCACAAAGGTAGACAACAGAGAGAAGTGAAAGCACTATTTGGAAAATCACATATGTAGCTAACTAACACAGAATACTATAAGCATACCTAATGTTTCTAATGCAGACGTTTCTTCTCCAAGTTATATATCTCCAGGGGTAATTGTAAAGAGGCAATAAATTAAAAAAAATTCTAATGGAAACCATTAATTATAACATATAGTATGATCTTAGGCACAATTTTAATGTTTTTCTACTTTTTAAAAGTAATAGAAAACTTCATTTCAGTTTAACATATGCAACATTTACAAATATATTATTTGTTAAGAATTCTAGGGGGGAAAAAAACTGCAATGCACAAACCTCTGGAAGAAAAAGATCTCATTCTAAGCAGAACATGCTGGTTTGTGCATCCTGAATGGGATCAGGGTAAAGGATTGGGTGTAAGGAAAAAAGAGGGAATGAGGGACTCATTGTTTGTAATAATAGTTAAGATGATCTGACTAAGAATTTATAGAAATTTTATGCGAGGTTAAGAGTCGAAAGTACTGAAAAGTTAAGCATATTTTTAAAATGCACAAGTAGTATACTGTAGTAACTTGTAAATGAAATTAGCCTTTTGTGCAGAGTTATCATTTTATAATTCCAGAAGATGGCACTATTGCTTGTTTTCTGGCTATGAAAAGTATTAAAACCACCTGAATTTCATTCAGATTAATACTTTCTTAAAAAAAAATGCATGCACTAAAGACTCACTAGGATAATTTTATAATGATGTAATGTGATAGATATATATATTATTTTCTAGATTTACAAGAATGGAGCCAAATATATCAAAAATATTTAAAACATTTTGCAAGAAAAGTCAGATAATTTATAACAAAGGACTACTCATAAGGACTTCATATGGAAACAAATCTCTATAGAGTTTGCAATATGGAAGGTAAAATAAATAAAGAAGAATCCACGAATTTCAAGGATATCTTTTTTATGCACTCCTGTATACTTTTATAAATTGAAAATTAAAGCTACTTAGAAATGAATAACAAAAAAAGTAAAGCTACTAGACCTCAAAATGACAGCAATCCTCGTTTTATTTACATATACTGTATCTCAAAATTTAGTATAAAAACAGTGTTCTAATAACTAATAAGAGGAAATAAGAATCCACTCAAATGCTGAGCATATATTTTATTCAGCTACTGGTCCTGACAACTGTCTTTCCCTGAAATGCTCTGTGAAAGAATATGCTTGGATTATTCAGTATAGAAGAAACAGGAGACAGGAAAATTTAATATTCTTACCTTTTTTTGACAATTAATATGACAACTAGGAGAAGGAGGATGAATACCAGAATTCCAGCACTTATTCCTGCTATTTTCACCACTCGATCTGTCTGCTTGGCTGGGTCTGGAATCACCTCTGGTTCTTCTGTTGCTGCTGCTAAATGAATCCAAAAAGAAGTTACTTAAAGCATATAATTACCACTGACAGGAAAATTATCATGAGCTAAAAGTTCTTTAAAGACAGTTTCTACATTTTGTTAATACAGTACACAAACACATGCACAAACACTCTGTGTGTGTGTGTATATATGCACATGCATGTGTGATGTGCATACTGTGAACTTCTACAGATACATCACACACGCTGTATCGTGTGTGT